ATGTATATATATATATATATATATATATATGATTTGTATTTATCATTATATATTTGTATATAATTACCTCTATATATGTGTATTTATATTTTTATTTTTATATATTTAGGTTTATGTGGCTAGATTTCATATATAGATTATATATATATTAATATTTTATATAAATTTATCAATACAAAGATAAAATATAAATATATATTTATATTGTTATATAATGTATAAATATAACTATATATCATATATAAAATATATATTCTATTTGTGATCATTTACTTTAGGAGGTAAGGTGTTATGATTGTCGAAGCATGGTTCTCAGGCAAAAGGAGAAAGAAAATTATCATTTTTAAAAGAATAGAGTAAAAAATTATCGCGATTTAATTTCCAGTTGTCAATAATTACATGCACAGAATAACTCATAACCTTTAATCTTATAATGAATAGCACATTAAACTTTTATGTGATTATGGAAACGTGAATTTCCATGTAATAAGGGCGTGGGTTGTGAAGCACTGGCTTTATAGGCAGTTTCCATGTGTTACGCTGTACCACAGAAACAGGGCCTTCCCCCATGTCCTGAACACCATCATTTTGTGGTGTATTTCTTTTGTATTTCATATATGGACATACCATATAAGGACGAGCATGCTTGGTATAACTCAAAGCCTGTGTATTTGCAAGGCTGTATTGACCCTGAACAATAACTATTTGTATGTTATGGACGGGAAACAAGTCCCAGTGAAAAGCTCCTGCTGTCCTTTAGGAAAGCCTATTGGCCGTGGTTGTACGTCTCTTTCCAAAGGGAGGTTGGTGAACTTTCTGCTACAGTTTTTCCATAATGACAGCATAAAAACTGCAATAAACGAAGTCTTGTCAGTGGTCACTTTTGGGCTTGTTGAATACTAGGGAGCACTTTAGCAGTGTGTTTCAAAATTACATTCAATAATTAATTTTGTGTACCTTATTTTAATGCCATATTGCCATTCAAGCTCTGCAAGCCAAAACGGTCTGTGACGATTCTTTTGGCATATAAAAAATTACACGTGGCCCTTACACCGTGTTTTCTCATCACCTGATGGTAGTTGGAGCTTCAACTGCTATTTATTGGGAACCCATCCTGACTAGCTCTTTCACTGGGGCTTCATGTTTTATTGTGATGATTGGCAGACTGGTGTTTCAGGCATTTTCAGCTTTGAAAAATTACTACGATTTTGAAATTATAGATGCCAAAGGTCACGGAATTTATTTTCACAAACTTTTAATTCATTATGGACAATAAATGGTTCAATCAGAAATCAGTAATTTAAATAATCTTTTAGTTTGTTGCAGCATTCACAAATACTACATCTTCATTTAAGTCTTTCTTTATTCTACATGTTAAATACACAGTAAAATTAGTTAATAAGAGTGTTAAATATTTTCCCTCCTTCTCCAACTACCCACAAGCTCAGGCTTAAAATAAACATTGGAATGAGTAAAGAAGTAATACATCAGCAAAACTGCAGTTGACTTTTATAATAAAATAATAGATATCAAGCTTCCTGACGTTTTTAGGCAAATCTTCCTGTGTCCCTAAAGGGCGGATCCCCTTGACAACAGTCACCAACAACAGGTAATCTTGATGTTCTCAGCTGTCAAGGACAGTCGGTGGGAAAATTTGAAAACACCTTGTACATATTAAAGAGCTAAGTATGAGATGATGTAGACATACATATGTCTCTTTCTCATTAGACCGCAGGAGACAGAACACACGGCAGGAAGGCTCATGTCGATTCCCCTTGACCATGCAGCTTCCTCTGCTCCTGACTCCTGAGAACTTTCTCACCTTTGCTCACTCCCAGCTTCAGATTCCCACAGGTAAGGATTGATTTTAGCCCCTCGTCAATACTACCTGGGACACCGAATTGCTCTCAAGAAAACACTCTGGAATTGAAAAATGACAGGAAAAGATCAACACGATGGCTGGGTGCCGGAGGCAAGGCCTTCCACTGTTTTAAGCCCTGACACTAAGCTCTAGAATAGCTGCAGCTGCAGCCTATAGGACACGGGCATGTGTCAGGCAGGCTGTGAAATGCTGCCTGCTCCCCATGCACGACCTCATTGCTCCCCCACATCACCCCTATGGATTAATCGGGGCTCTTGAGAGACACCACCAACAGGATATCGGCAAAGATGGATGAGAGCAGATTTATTAAAGGAATTGGAGGGTGAAAAGTCTCAGGACAGGCTTTCTGCAGGCTGGAGCCCCTGGGATGCCAGGAGTGTGACTCAGTTCACATCCAAAAGCCTCAGAACCAGGGAAGTGGATGGTGTAACTCTCAGTATGAAAAGAGCCTGCAGTTGTGCTGTCCACGGGCAGGAAAAGAAGAGTCCCAGCTCCAGGAGAGAAAGGGAGGAAAGCGCCTTTCCTCTGCCCTGTTTCTTCGATCTGGGCCTCAGAGAATTGGATGGGGCCTGTCTCTACTAAAGGCATCTTCCTCACTCTGTCCACCAGCTCACACCAATCTTCCTGGGAATACCTGCGGGCTCACTCAGAAACAATGCTTTACCAATTCCTGATGTATTCCTTAAGGCAGCCACGTGGACACCTGAAATTAACCATCGCACCCTGTAAAATGGGTACTATCCCCGCTGGACACCTGAGATAGACAGCTTGAGTACCTTTCTTATGGTGCTTATAGGTTACAGAGTCAGGATTAAAACTCAAGTCTGCAAAGATCAAATTCCAAACTCTACCGTCTCAAGGACTGCTGCTCAATGCTGCAGAAGCAGCACTGTATTCCACACTGTAGGAGGACTGAAGAGGCACTCGAGGCACGTCCCCTGGTTTAGGGGCCACATCTTAGCTGGCATTCATGAAAGGAGTCCCCAGAACCAAGTGTGAATTCGCACACTTTATGTGTGCATAAGCGCTACAGAAATTCTATGAGCAAGATAATTGTAGGCTCAGTTCATATAGAGAAGAGTTTTTGTTTGTTTGTTTGTTTCTTTTTGAGACAGAGATTCACTCTTGTGGCCCAGGCTGGAGCGCAGTGGTGCAATGTTGGCTCACTGTAATCTTTGTCTCCTGTATTCAAGCGATTCTTTGCTTCAGCCTCCTGAGTAGCTGGGATTACAAGCACCTACCACACCACACTGGGCTAAGTTTTATCCTTTTGGTAAAGACGGGGTTTTGCCATGTTGGCCAGGCTTATCTGAAACTCCTGGCCTCAGGTGACCCACCCACCTCGGCCTCCCAAAGTGCTGGGATTACAGCTGAGAACCACCATGTCTGGCCCGGAAGGTTTTATGAAAACAGCTGTTACCTATTTTCTTGAAAGAAAATGTTTTTACTGGCAGAAAGGTGTTCTTCTACATGTTATATACACAGTTAAATTAGTTAATAACTAGTTGAAGGGTTTTGGGGGGTATGAGGCCCTGGACACCGGTCCACGGGAGTGGGGAAAATGCCACGCAGAATAGAAACAGAATTGAGGACGTTTCAGGGAGAGGAGTAAGGAAAAGCGCTAGACTAGCAAGCTGATATGTAATTTTGAATCTTAACTAGATTGAGAATCTGATACAACTCAAAATTAGATAAGAGTAATTGCAGTGAAAAAAAAAAATAGAGAAGAGGCCAGGCGTGGTGGCTCACTCCTGTAATCCCAGTGCTTTGTGAGGCAGAGGCTGGTGGATCACCTGAGGTCAGGAGTTCAAGATCAGCCTGGCTAACAAGGTGAAACACTGTCTCTACTAAAATACAAAAGTTAGCCAGATGTGTTGGCATGTGCCGGTAGTCCCAGCTACTCAGAAGGCTGAGGCAGAATAACTGAACCTGGGAGGTGGAGGCTGCCGTGAACTAAGATCACGCCACTGCACTTCAACCTGGAAAAGAAAGCAAGACCCTGTCTCCAAAAAAAAAAAAACAATAAGGAGGGTAAAAAAAGTATTAATAACAAATTAAATTATTCATCCAAAAATTATTTATTGGGGACCAACCATGGTCCAGGCAGTGGGCTAGATACTATTCGAAAAATAATCATCGCTGCCATGACTGAGCAATGCATGCGAGGCATCCTTAGAATGGTCCTGGAAGATAGATGGGGCTTTCTTATTCCACCCTGAGTTTACAAAAGATGACCCAGGTATGTCCTACCTGCTGCCAAATAAACCCAGAGGGAGCACACAAACCTCCCAAACCATAGGCTGCCTTTTAATTTTGTTGACTGTCAACTGTGCAGAAGCTTTTAGTTTCCAGACTGCTCACCTGCGCTGCATATTTCAGCCTTCCAGACCGCCACATTGTGTGAATGTGTGAGACAATTCCTTACAGTAAACCGTATCGTATACATAATATCATTCAGAAACAAATATGATATGATAGTAAATAGATGTTTATGATGTATATTACACACACACACACACACACACACACACACACACAAACACAATACCCTGTTGGGTTAGTTTCTCCTTCTCTGAGGAACCCAGCTTGATACAGATAAGCAGCAGAGACAGTGTGTTTGCTGAGCTTGACCCCCTGACGCCAGTGCTTTAAACCATGAGAATGAAACATTTAGGGGCAATCTGTGGGCACTGGGATAAGAAAGGGAAATGGATAAGTTCTTTCACAGCATCCAAGAAGTGAATGGTCCTCGAGGATCAGCAGACGAATGTGTAGGAGAGGGAGATGATTGCCATCTTCACATAGCCTTACACCTGTCCCAGTTAGCATGGAGGAGGTTGAGGTAGGTCATACAGAAACTGGGTAATGATGGAAGCTGGGAGGGAACAGAATGTACCACTGAATGGGGGGGTCCTGGGGAAACATCTGGAGGAAACACCCTCCCGTGCCAAGTGATCTGCCAAAATTGAACATGGGGAGGTGAAGTGGGGTGACATGTCAGTTGGGAACCATCTTTAGGAGTGCTAACCATAATCTCCCTTTCTCCAATCATAGCATCCTGCCTTCCTCATCAAATGCCACCCCACCCCCACACTTCTTCGGCCATGTCCCGGCGGTGCTGTGTGACGTCTAAGCCCGTCCTTCCCGCCCAGGGCTACCATTGGCTGGGTGGTGGCATGCTGACCAATCAAAGCTCAGAAACGTGGTTGCCTCATTGTCGTGGACGAAAGGGGCACGTACACGTAGACCAGGCAGCCTGACATTGACGTTGGAGACGTTGAGTTGAGCAAGATGGCGCCAAAGAAGAGAGCCTCGGGACCGCCGGCCAAGGCCGGGGAGACGCGAAAGAGGAAGTCCTCTTCTGAGGCGAGTCCCAGTACCCCGAAGAAGGTGAGTGACCCACCCGAGCTCCTCCTCGTCTTCCCCTTGATTCCTTCCTCAAGATTCCTGCCCTGTCCTCACCTGGCACAACCCCCAGCCCGGCCCTCACCGCTTCTCAGGAAACGTCCCTGTTCCCAGCCTCCTCCATCCTCTCCCCTGACCCGGACAGAGCCCCACTGTGATCTCCCTGTTGTCCTTCCAGACGCCCAAGGTGGGCAAGAGAGGAAAAGCAGGTCCTGGAGGGAGAGGCGGGAAGAAACGTGCCGCTGGGAAAAAGATGGCAGCCGTGGGAGCCCCTGAGGCAGGGAGCGGGCCAGCACCACCCGGGCCCAGCCAGCCGCCGAGCCAGGAGCTTCCTCCATGCAAAGTGCCTGTGAAGGAGGAGCCAGTGGGCGAGCCCGACCCACTGAGCCAGGAGACCCAGCTGGAGGATCCACTGAGCCAGGAGACCCAGCTGGAGGAGCCACTGAGTGACGTGATGACCGTCTCCACCTCGTCGGAGCCACTGAGTGACGTGATGACCTTTGAGTTGAGCAAGATGGCGCCAAAGAAGAGAGCCTCGGTACCGCCGGCCAAGGCCGGGGAGACGCGAAAGAGGAAGTCCTCTTCTGAGGTGAGTCCCAGTACCCCGAAGAAGGTGAGTGACCCACCCGAGCTCCTCCTCGTCTTCCCCTTGATTCCTTCCTCAAGATTCCTGCCCTGTCCTCACCTGGCACAACCCCCAGCCCGGCCCTCACCGCTTCTCAGGAAACGTCCCTGTTCCCAGCCTCCTCCATCCTCTCCCCTGACCCGGACAGAGCCCCACTGTGATCTCCCTGTTGTCCTTCCAGACGCCCAAGGTGGGCAAGAGAGGAAAAGTAGGTCCTGGAGGGAGAGGCGGGAAGAAACGTGCCGCTGGGAAAAAGATGGCAGCCGTGGGAGCCCCTGAGGCAGGGAGCGGGCCAGCACCACCCGGGCCCAGCCAGCCGCCGAGCCAGGAGCTTCCTCCATGCAAAGTGCCTGTGAAGGAGGAGCCAGTGGGCAAGCCCGACCCACTGAGCCAGGAGACCCAGCTGGAGGAGCCACTGAGCCAGGAGACCCAGCTGGAGGAGCCACTGAGTGACGTGATGACCGTCTCCACCTCGTCGGAGCCACTGAGTGACGTGATGACCGTCTCCACCTCGTCGGATCTACCGAGTGACGTGATGACCGTCTCCGCCTCGTCCCTCAGCAGCGACTAAGTTCAGGCCCAGCTGCCAGGAGACTCGGAGATCTCACCAGCGCAGGGGGCGCCCCCATGCTGATGTCAATAAATCCAATGTGTTGCAAAATGATCCCAGTGACTGTGTTCTCTGATGGTGGGGAGGGAGGGAGGGAGGGAGGGACAGGTGATGTGTGGGGGGAGGGGGGGAGAGGGAGGGGGGGAGAGGGAGGGAGGAAGTGGTGGTGTATGGGGCGGAGGGAAGAATGGGTGGTGTGTGGAGGGGGTAGGAAGTGGGGTCCTACGAGGTTGATGTCAGAGAGACAGGTCACAGCCAGACAGGAGGATAAGGACTGCATCAGAGCTGAGCACTGGAGACAAATTTCCCCTTCACAGGATGACTCCTCGTCTTGTAAGGCTTCTTTCTTCATGCAATCTTGCTAGCTCATACATCAAGTACCAAGAATCAGATTCTACCTGCTTAGGTTTCATTGTTAAAGTACCTTTTCATTCATAGAAACCGATGGAAGAATCCTCTTTCCTTTCAGCATCCCCTCCCCACAATCTAATATAATTAAGAAGAAAAATTCAAAGTAGAGTAAAATCTATTTGAAAAAAGCTATTTTATTTTTGCAACTGAGGACACAAAAAGTACATTTCATATTTCCATACATTAGAAATACACAGGTCTTTTCCATATATAGTAGAACTTACTATATACAAATATATAAGTAAATGAAATATATACAACTATATTATTTAAAAATATATAGATCTTATATGTATAAAATATATAAATACAAATATGGATTATATGTCTATAAATACAGATGTCGACATACATTAGAAATACATGTTTTTTCTATATATACTAGAACCTACTATATATTTATATATTAACTTCTTCATATATACATATAGATTATATATAGAAATATTTATATTATATATAAAACATATTTATATGTTATATATAATCATTTATTTTAGAAAGTAAGGCGTTCTGATTGTTGAAGCATGGTTCACAGGCAAAAAGAGAAAGAAAATAACCACTTTAAGAAGAATAAACTACAAAATTTTTCACTACTCAATACCCAGTTGTCCATCATTGCAATGAGAGAATAATATAGAACTTGCTATGTGTCGAAAAGACCTGTGTATTTGTAATGTCTATATGTGTAATCTACATTCATATATAGTTATATAAATGCACAGGTCTTTTCTATATATAGTAGAATTTGCTACTACTGTGTTCCTAATGTGTATATATATATAAAATACATATTTATAAATATTTATATACATGGGTTTTTATATAAACACACAGGTCTTTGCTATATACAGAAAAGACCTGTGTATTCCTAATGTGTGCATGTATATATATATATATATATATATATGATTTGTATTTATCATTATATATTTGTATATAATTACCTCTATATATGTGTATTTATATTTTTATTTTTATATATTTAGGTTTATGTGGCTAGATTTCATATATAGATTATATATATATATTAATATTTTATATAAATTTATCAATACAAAGATAAAATATAAATATATATTTATATTGTTATATAATGTATAAATATAACTATATCATATATAAAATATATATTCTATTTGTGATCATTTACTTTAGGAGGTAAGGTGTTATGATTGTCGAAGCATGGTTCTCAGGCAAAAGGAGAAAGAAAATTATCATTTTTAAAAGAATAGAGTAAAAAATTATCGCGATTTAATTTCCAGTTGTCAATAATTACATGCACAGAATAACTCATAACCTTTAATCTTATAATGAATAGCACATTAAACTTTTATGTGATTATGGAAACGTGAATTTCCATGTAATAAGGGCGTGGGTTGTGAAGCACTGGCTTTATAGGCAGTTTCCATGTGTTACGCTGTACCACAGAAACAGGGCCTTCCCCCATGTCCTGAACACCATCATTTTGTGGTGTATTTCTTTTGTATTTCATATATGGACATACCATATAAGGACGAGCATGCTTGGTATAACTCAAAGCCTGTGTATTTGCAAGGCTGTATTGACCCTGAACAATAACTATTTGTATGTTATGGACGGGAAACAAGTCCCAGTGAAAAGCTCCTGCTGTCCTTTAGGAAAGCCTATTGGCCGTGGTTGTACGTCTCTTTCCAAAGGGAGGTTGGTGAACTTTCTGCTACAGTTTTTCCATAATGACAGCATAAAAACTGCAATAAACGAAGTCTTGTCAGTGGTCACTTTTGGGCTTGTTGAATATTAGGGAGCACTTTAGCAGTGTGTTTCAAAATTACATTCAATAATTAATTTTGTGTACCTTATTTTAATGCCATATTGCCATTCAAGCTCTGCAAGCCAAAACGGTCTGTGACGATTCTTTTGGCATTTAAAAAATTACACGTGGCCCTTACACCGTGTTTTCTCATCACCTGATGGTAGTTGGAGCTTCAACTGCTATTTATTGGGAACCCATCCTGACTAGCTCTTTCACTGGGGCTTCATGTTTTATTGTGATGATTGGCAGACTGGTGTTTCAGGCATTTTCAGCTTTGAAAAATTACTACGATTTTGAAATTATAGATGCCAAAGGTCACGGAATTTATTTTCACAAACTTTTAATTCATTATGGACAATAAATGGTTCAATCAGAAATCAGTAATTTAAATAATCTTTTAGTTTGTTGCAGCATTCACAAATACTACATCTTCATTTAAGTCTTTCTTTATTCTACATGTTAAATACACAGTAAAATTAGTTAATAAGAGTGTTAAATATTTTCCCTCCTTCTCCAACTACCCACAAGCTCAGGCTTAAAATAAACATTGGAATGAGTAAAGAAGTAATACATCAGCAAAACTGCAGTTGACTTTTATAATAAAATAATAGATATCAAGCTTCCTGACGTTTTTAGGCAAATCTTCCTGTGTCCCTAAAGGGCGGATCCCCTTGACAACAGTCACCAACAACAGGTAATCTTGATGTTCTCAGCTGTCAAGGACAGTCGGTGGGAAAATTTGAAAACACCTTGTACATATTAAAGAGCTAAGTATGAGATGATGTAGACATACATATGTCTCTTTCTCATTAGACCGCAGGAGACAGAACACACGGCAGGAAGGCTCATGTCGATTCCCCTTGACCATGCAGCTTCCTCTGCTCCTGACTCCTGAGAACTTTCTCACCTTTGCTCACTCCCAGCTTCAGATTCCCACAGGTAAGGATTGATTTTAGCCCCTCGTCAATACTACCTGGGACACCGAATTGCTCTCAAGAAAACACTCTGGAATTGAAAAATGACAGGAAAAGATCAACACGATGGCTGGGTGCCGGAGGCAAGGCCTTCCACTGTTTTAAGCCCTGACACTAAGCTCTAGAATAGCTGCAGCTGCAGCCTATAGGACACGGGCATGTGTCAGGCAGGCTGTGAAATGCTGCCTGCTCCCCATGCACGACCTCATTGCTCCCCCACATCACCCCTATGGATTAATCGGGGCTCTTGAGAGACACCACCAACAGGATATCGGCAAAGATGGATGAGAGCAGATTTATTAAAGGAATTGGAGGGTGAAAAGTCTCAGGACAGGCTTTCTGCAGGCTGGAGCCCCTGGGATGCCAGGAGTGTGACTCAGTTCACATCCAAAAGCCTCAGAACCAGGGAAGTGGATGGTGTAACTCTCAGTATGAAAAGAGCCTGCAGTTGTGCTGTCCACGGGCAGGAAAAGAAGAGTCCCAGCTCCAGGAGAGAAAGGGAGGAAAGCGCCTTTCCTCTGCCCTGTTTCTTCGATCTGGGCCTCAGAGAATTGGATGGGGCCTGTCTCTACTAAAGGCATCTTCCTCACTCTGTCCACCAGCTCACACCAATCTTCCTGGGAATACCTGCGGGCTCACTCAGAAACAATGCTTTACCAATTCCTGATGTATTCCTTAAGGCAGCCACGTGGACACCTGAAATTAACCATCGCACCCTGTAAAATGGGTACTATCCCCGCTGGACACCTGAGATAGACAGCTTGAGTACCTTTCTTATGGTGCTTATAGGTTACAGAGTCAGGATTAAAACTCAAGTCTGCAAAGATCAAATTCCAAACTCTACCGTCTCAAGGACTGCTGCTCAATGCTGCAGAAGCAGCACTGTATTCCACACTGTAGGAGGACTGAAGAGGCACTCGAGGCACGTCCCCTGGTTTAGGGGCCACATCTTAGCTGGCATTCATGAAAGGAGTCCCCAGAACCAAGTGTGAATTCGCACACTTTATGTGTGCATAAGCGCTACAGAAATTCTATGAGCAAGATAATTGTAGGCTCAGTTCATATAGAGAAGAGTTTTTGTTTGTTTGTTTGTTTCTTTTTGAGACAGAGATTCACTCTTGTGGCCCAGGCTGGAGCGCAGTGGTGCAATGTTGGCTCACTGTAATCTTTGTCTCCTGTATTCAAGCGATTCTTTGCTTCAGCCTCCTGAGTAGCTGGGATTACAAGCACCTACCACACCACACTGGGCTAAGTTTTATCCTTTTGGTAAAGACGGGGTTTTGCCATGTTGGCCAGGCTTATCTGAAACTCCTGGCCTCAGGTGACCCACCCACCTCGGCCTCCCAAAGTGCTGGGATTACAGCTGAGAACCACCATGTCTGGCCCGGAAGGTTTTATGAAAACAGCTGTTACCTATTTTCTTGAAAGAAAATGTTTTTACTGGCAGAAAGGTGTTCTTCTACATGTTATATACACAGTTAAATTAGTTAATAACTAGTTGAAGGGTTTTGGGGGGTATGAGGCCCTGGACACCGGTCCACGGGAGTGGGGAAAATGCCACGCAGAATAGAAACAGAATTGAGGACGTTTCAGGGAGAGGAGTAAGGAAAAGCGCTAGACTAGCAAGCTGATATGTAATTTTGAATCTTAACTAGATTGAGAATCTGATACAACTCAAAATTAGATAAGAGTAATTGCAGTGAAAAAAAAAAATAGAGAAGAGGCCAGGCGTGGTGGCTCACTCCTGTAATCCCAGTGCTTTGTGAGGCAGAGGCTGGTGGATCACCTGAGGTCAGGAGTTCAAGATCAGCCTGGCTAACAAGGTGAAACACTGTCTCTACTAAAATACAAAAGTTAGCCAGATGTGTT